GGCCCAGCATCCTCAACGTTGAAAATTGCCCCGGCATGAAGTGGTTAAATACATGTAAATCATAAAAACTTCTGTCTTCTGTCATCTAACCAAAAAAAAAAAAAGAAGCCAGCTTCACCCTGCTCACTCAATGCTGACGAACACAGCTGGTACCAACAATTCAAATGCTTGTAAAATTGCTCAATTAAGTTTGCCTGCATATTGACTTCTAACAAACAATACTAGAATTACCAAATAACATCACAGTTGTCCATCAGCGCTGCATAGGCTATGTAATTTATAGAATGTGATAGTTTCAGTTCAAAATTCATTCGTTACACAGCACCTACATCACTTACAGGATCGTGGGAGAATGCCCTTGACAAAATCATCTCATCTAGGAGTTTTTTCTTAATGTTTACTGCTGCTCCAACCATGCCCTGAAGTAACATGGGATACAACAAAAGCAAACAGTGTGACAGGATTTGGCAACTATCTTAGCAGTGCATATAGACCTCCAACCTCTGTACTGACACTTTTGTTCATGTGTGTGCTTTCCTATGGTGGTAGGCAGTCAGTGGATAATGGGTACCTACTGGCTCCATAATAAGGTGTATACTGTAAACAACATGTGCTGTCACCAGCACCTACATGTAGGACTTGTGTAATGAGCACTTCAAACAAGCACTCAACTGCACTCATTCATGTTTTCCCCAGATTTTGTTCACTTCTTGTATTAATTTTGGTTGTAGACGATGCATGCTCTCATGAGATATGATTAACTAGGTGCCCATTTCTTATTATGACCTAACACCCATTGAACTATCATTTGAGCCACACATTCAACCTTTTTCCATTACAAAATTCCCTTGCCAATTACCCTGTGTTAAAGTTTTCTCTGTGAAAACCAAAACTAAATCAGAAGTTCTGAGCATTTTACAGACATCTGTTGGATGCAGAAACATGGTTTATTCTTTAACTGACAACTGACTCATGATATGTTGTTGAGTCTTTCCAGATTGTGCAAAAGTTTCAGGAAATACAAAGGGCCACATTTTGATAGTCAGATATCCCTTCCTCAGGTACTTATTACAGTCCTGATAGATATGCACGCATCTTCAGTTATTTGCACCTTGAAGTCACATTGATAGTAACTCAGTGGTCAAGACCACATTAATGATAATAATAACACATTTCTTATATAGCGCATCACATAGAACATCTCGATGCGCTTCACAGTAATATTATGAAATAAAGCAATTAATGAAACAGGTGAGTTTTAAGTAGTGACTTAAATTCGTTTTCATTTTTGATAATTCTGATATGGTGTGGGAGAGAGTTCCACAGCGATGGTGATGCATACTTGAATGAACGATATCCATAAGTCTTAGTGCGAGTACGATACAAGTACCATTAGCAATCTTTTTTAAGGGGAAACGTTTCAAACAAGTGGGTGTGGGGAGAGGAGGTGACCAGAGGAGGTGTCTTGATGTAGGTAGCCCCACCCACCTTGTGGCCAAACCAATCATTTGGGCAGTTGTCCAGTGGAATCTCAGATATATCAGCAGATAGATCCGTCAGCCAATCCTGCATTGATAATGTACCTCGTACTGCCACAATCACCTTACGTCTAGAGTGGTCTAAAGCAACATAGAATGGGGTCTCCCACACCTGGCCAAAGACAAGATTTCTCATTCTCATTACTGATTATGGTCATGAAAGGCTCTGGTTACAACTACCATGTTGACATTTGGTAAAGGAGCTCTAGGAGAGATCCTTAACACATGTACAAAAGATGTTGGAACAGTGATGCATCAGGGAGATGTACATTTGAATCTTGAGGTCAATAACTACTGATTACAAGTAGCAATCAACAGTTTAATACAGTACCCATTGCCACATTAGATTTGGAATGGCTAGCTAAGGTTGGAGCATCTGCAATAGTTGGAGGGAATTTGGTTTGAGTCCAATTAGTGAAGCAACTGTAAAACTGATTTCTGATAGTCATTTGGGGCAAAATTAATCCTGATAATGACTGGCCATGTTTCAACGGAATAGTTTGCAAGCAGACTTTGTTAGTTGGTGTAAAGAATGATATACATGTACTTCAAGAAAAAAATGTCCAAATTCAAATATTAATAAGTGACCTCTTTTGAACATTAAAAAGCAACATCACACAAACAAAAAAGAATGCAAACCTTAGTTTAAAAAAAGCAACAAGTTAAAAGTAGCATGCATCTTTCATTTCAGCAATTAAAATAAATTGCTGCATTAATAGTTTACAAGTGATATCAGCACATTGATTCCGGTCATTTCCACAACCAATAACCCTTTTCATTAACAAAATTTAAAACAAACAAATAAAAAAACAGAGAAAGAGAATATAATTAATAACAATCAAGCTCTTACCTGCAAAATCCGAACAAGGGATGCATCCCCACCAGATCAAATAAAGTAAAAACAGAAAAAGCATAAACAAGACATAAATTACAGGCCAAGTGTTAGAAAACAAATACTGCAAAGGTCTAGTGCAAGCTTAAAGCATATTACAAAAATGGTATCTTTTAAAAAGCATTTTCTCACCCTACCGCCTGGTACTTTTGATAAATGCATGAATTGACTTTTCAAAAATACCGGGAAAATAAAAGCATTAAAATTTTTATCCATGCCCATAGCAGTTAATTTGCATTAATAAGCAGTTATTTGCATAAGGGCCAATATTAAGCATTATTGTTAACAACTGCTTCAATTCCATAATGCTTTTCATTACACTACAAAACGCAGCAATAAAAATGATTTGCCTTACCCAACGTGCTTTACCCACACACCTACAGCTGAGTGGAATCACCCACTCATAATGTATGCACCCTTGCAGTTGGTTGGAATGTTCGATTCTCAAGAGGGGATGGTCAGCAGAGAGGAGAGGAGGAGGGTGATGAATGGTGGTGGCAAACTCGTTAGAATTTAACTCCAAGCAATGAGGTGATGGTGGGGAAGAACAAGCTATAGACAATCAACAGCAGTGATGGAGCAACAAATGTTAGTAATCACTCAATACTAACTCATCAAGTTAACTGAACATGTAGCTCAAACCATTAAACCCTCAACAACATCAAGAAAGACAACTTGCAAATGGAAACAAGAACAAATATAACGGCAACAGAGACTTGAGGTAGTCATTACAGCACATACATGTACATTAATGACAACTTAGCAAGCAGCAGAAATAGTTCACATTTCACTAACTATAAGCACATAACCATTATAATGAAAGTGTGAACAGGTTGAGCATTTTTTGACAAGAATGACTAAGGAATTCAGCCAAATCGTTTGAAGCTACTGTATCTGAGGAACTTGTGTTGATACGCATATCATCTGATTTCAAGGAAAGAGGAACGTGTACATGGAAGTACAATGGTAGAGAAAAGCCTGATTTGGAATTTCTGAAAATTAAAAAAAATCTCATGTATTGCAAAAGGAATGATGTCAAAACGTTTGGATTCAAATGACTATATATGCCGACGGATAACAAAACATGGAATGTCATTGTTTGGAATATTAACATGAAATATGAAGGACTGACAAGTATGCCATCCCAAGCTCCACCCCCCCCCAAAATTTCCAATATACTTAAAAAGAGAAGACTTTCAGATTGGCATGAAACTCAAAGATCTCTCTATGCTACAGCAGAACAGAGAACTTTGTCAATCATTATAGGATGAACCGCACAATTTACATCACTTATTTCAGAATTGTCTATCTGAAACATCAACGCAGACCAGCCACCTTCCAAAAATTCAATCAAAATAAAAGAAAAAAGCTTTTCTACATGTAGTTCTATTTTTAACTCTCTCAAAAGCGAAACTATACGAACATGTATATGATCCTTCCCAGGGTGAAATGGTATTGATTTAGCAATAAAATCTTATCTGTAATACTACATGTAAATGTACCTTTAATGGTTCCAACTTTCAGAACATGATATGTCTCCTGTTATGAGTCTTAAGTACATGCTGATGCTAACATAAAAACACAAATCCATACACGCACAGCACAATACATGACAAAACATAAAAAGACTTACAAAGAACATCCAATCATGCAAAACCAAGCACCAAGAATACATGTACTATTGCAATGCTTCCAACCCACAGCCACACAACTACAGCAGATGCAAGCTTCATATCACATGCATTAATCAGCAACCAAAGTCAGCCGCATGCAAAAAGCAAAATACCAAAAGTTTCCAAGAAACAAAGAGGAGAACACATAGCAATAACAGTAATCAGATTGCATGTAATAATGGAACAATGTGATGTAAGGGCTACGGTTACTAGGTGATCCTTTCAAACATCTTCCTCTTTACCTGGTATCATGTACCGAACCAAGCTGAATTGATTTTACTTCCAGCAGTATTTTCCATTATCAACATCAAACGACCACAGTCACAGCCATTTTTTCCTTGTTCATGAGCCAACGGACCCAACAAGGTGGCTTTGGAATGTTTACATGTAAGGAAGGGAAGAGTCATGACATGGTACAGCCATAGAGCTGGGTTTGTAGCTCTATGGTACAGCCAT